GTCTGTCCTATTCTGTGTGTGTCTTTTCTCTCTCTCTCTCTCTCTCTCTCTCTCTCTCTCTCTCTCTCTCTCTTTCTCTATCTATCTATCTATCTATCTGTCTGTCTGTCTGTCTGTCTGTCTGTTTGTCTCTCTCTCTCTCTTCTCTCTCTCTCTCCCCTCCCTCCTTTTTTCTCTTTCTCTCTTTCTTTCCCCTCTACAAAATGATGAATGATATCTGAGGAGAAAAATATACCACTTCCCATTGGTTAATATTAAGAATTGTTAAAGCATTCAAAAATTAAAATCCAAAGTAAAAATTTTCTTTTTAAAAACGATTTCGAATTTTCGAGTGAAAACGCTTTCCAATTATACAGTGACGCAAAATTTATATTTTAAGAATGTTGATTTTCCTTTCCAATAATAATTAATAATTTGACAATGATCAATATTTTTCAATAATAATTTTAAAATGATCAGTATTTCGTAAACAGGTAGGGAATATATTCTTTCTCTCTCTCGCACGCGCGCGCACACACACACACACACACACACACACACACACACACTTCTCATATCTGTTTTAATAATACGTATTTTTCTTTTTGACTATTAAATGAAATTTGATAAAATGACAGAAAAGAATGAGAAAAGTATAACAATAATAATTAATTATTATTATTAATTAGAGTATACAAAATAATATTGTACAGTAAAAACTCATTATTTGCATTATGAAAAATTTATTATTTATTGTACAAGTTTGTGTTTATTATTTTTACAATTAGTTTAAATGGCTTTTTTTTTATATTTCTTTCATTAAATAATAAAATAAAATTACAATAATTTTTTATCTTATATATGAATTAACGAAATTATTTTGATAAAAGAACTAATATTTTTTTGATAAAAATGAATTGAAATTAATTTCAATCAAGCCATAATACTCTCTATCATGATGATATTTATAAAAAAGTTATAGAAAAAATTAAAACCATGATATGAAATCTGTTTAATATTTTTTGTGCAAAGAAAATTTTATTTAGATTCAAGATTATTTTATATTTTATATCTATACGAAGCCATAATATTAAGTTAATAGAAGAATATAGATCAGATCGAAACAATCAAATAATAAAAATGTGAAAAGAGCGAACATAAGACTAAATGAGATTACAAAGTTTAAAAATAGAATGGGCATAGAAATAGACTTGATATTAATCATTTTAAACATAAGAATGTCTTAATGATATTGAGGCATCAAAGCACGCCATATTTTCAATCTAATCAAAACAAATTTTGCATAGTATATGCATAGTATATTTATATACATATATATGTGTTATCTTTTTAAAAAGATCTTAGATTTCATTTCTAAATTTGTTGTGCCTTTCTTTTGATACTGGCTTAAAATAATAAAATTAAATAATATTTAAATATCGCAGAATAATATTGTTTTCAAGAAGCATAAATTATTTTTATTTTTATAATATTTGTCTTTTATCATGATACAGAAAATAAAACTTCAACTTTTATTTATTCGGTACATCGACAACGTATATATCAACGCTGTATATATATAAAAAAAAATATTTTTTTCATGTGTTAAATTTTATTTTATCAATTCTCTATTGAGAATATTTGTAGTATTAATATCGAAATGTATTAATATTGAAATGCAATTTGCATAATTATAACGATGATCTCTTTCTTTATTCTCGATAATTATTTCTCGGCATTATAGTAAAGTTAAATTTAGTATTTATGATGTATAATACATATCGAACATTGCGCAATTAATGAGTTTTACTGTACATAAATATACAGATGATTGAAAAGAATGCACAAGAAGATGTTGATTATGATTGTTTAAATAAACATACTATATTAATTTTTTCTTTTCTTTTTTATTTACTTTCGAAGAATGAATATAATAATCAATTTCAATATATACATATACAAAACTTGCATTTAAATTTAAAAAATAATTTTAGATATATTTATTTTGCTCATAAATATTTCCCGGTTTTTTTTGCAAAACAATTAATATCTTTTATCACGTCACTGTGCATCTCACGCTTAAAAAATTAATTACGAAAATTCGATTGGACAAATTTTTGGATATATTTGAATTTCTAATTAGATGAACCACTGGGAGGAGGTTGGATAAAATAAAAGAGGGATAAAACATGAGTTTCAATCTCTCTGCCCCTCCGTTGCGTGTGCGCATGCGCGTGTTATGAAAAATTTGTGCGTGCATGCCTGTATGTGCAAGCGAATGTAATTTCGCGCATGCGCGCGAACAAGCGAACGGGCGCGCGCGTGTGTGTATGTGTATGTTTTCAACGTCAAAGGTACCTGAATGGACTGATATAACCATACTGATGAGAAAAAGAATGTTTACTATTCATTGCACAATATTTTTTTCCGATGTTCTGAAATATCAAAACGCCCTCAGACCTTCAATGTCTTATTCAGACATACAGAGAGACAGATTTTTTTTTCTAGAATATCTGGCTTTTAAGCGGATATAACCAGATCTTGCCGTACTTTACATGTAACATGTATTAAAGTTAAACGTCAATCTCTCTCAAGTGCCGATGCATTTCAAATATTAACTATTGAGATTTTTCTTGATCTTCTGGGATTTGATTTTTCATGACTTTTTAGCATTTGCGTGTGGTACAGATATTTAAGTCATTCTCTGTGTTCTATGTTTATTGCTACTAATATATATATATATATATATATATATAACAAATATTCAAAGTAAATGAGTTCAACTCCATAAAACTAAAACTAATCAAACAATTGTAAACTAAATTTTCCTAAATCAGAAATGTTAGGTTTCTATTAAGGAAAAACAAATGAAGGGATCAAAAAGGCCCTGTAAATTTACTTTTGGGACTTATCTTAAATATAACAAAGGATTAATTCTTTAAAAATCAAAAATTTTTCGAATAAATATGTTAGAAAATTGTATGATTATTCAAAAATTATAAGACTTGATAAATTTATTTGCACACTGTTTATCGATAATGTGTGTAAGTAGATAGAGAACTACTTAAAA